CCACCCCGTTTCCCACACACAAGGGTTCCCCTCAGGGTCCTTGCCAGATGTGTGGAATATGCGGCCTAGAGGTGTCTGCAGGGACGTGGTCAATGATCACTTGTAAGTGACTCTGTAACTGTGCGGTTGATTATCTGGTGCTGTGAGGATTTGAGGATTAAAAGCAAAGCGAGGTATTGCAGTGGGGCTTTTTGCCGGCGCAGGCCTCTCCTTGTTCACTGTCCTGCTTGAGCCTCTGTCTTTCTGCAGGTTTTTCAGTTTTACCCCCAGGCCATACATCTTTTACCCCGAAATATGTCCAAATTTAGGTAAGAAGACATAACAATAAGATGAAGACGTTATAGCAGGCAGATTGGTCCCCTGGGGGACAGCAGAGAACCCGCCAAGTCTAGAGATGGGGGGAGGGGAATGGAGCACAAAGGAAGTGGCAAATCTACCAACACCTAGCAGACATGTGGTGCCCTGTGGGCTATTTGGCATTTTCATGGCTGTGATTTCCTGTGCTCTTCGTGCGAACACTATGGGATAAGTAGGACAGGGGCCTACTTTCCTGGACGTTAAATGAGGGTTGAAGCCGTGAGGGGCTTTCTCAGGTCCTGCCGTTCTGAATCCACATCCTGCCTCCCCGATGCCATGGACATGGCCACAAAGTCCGCACGCGACACATGACGTGGTCCTGCACGTTCTGCCCCATACACGTTCCGGACTCACTTCCTGAAAGACAGTTCTGGGTTCTCCCACAGCGGTGCTGGACTCCTTAGGCTGTAAAATGTTGCTATTACCCAAGAGGTATATGGCGGTTCCTACAGGAAGTTACCATTGACTGTTGTGGGCCTTAGCAAGCGTTGCTTAGGAAAAGCTGGGGTGTGGGGCACCTGGGCGGCTCAGTTGGTTAAGCATCTGACTTTGGCTCAGGTCCTGATCTCATGGTCATGGGATTGAGCCCCGCATGGGGCTCTGCACTGACCGAGCAGAGCCTGCTTGGGATTCTCTCTCTCCCTCTCTCTCTCTCTGCCCCTCCTCTCACCCTCTCTCAAAATAAATAAATAAACTTTTAAAAAAATTACTGCCTCTAAGAAGAAAGAAAAACAAAGAAAAGGCTGGGTTCCACAGATCCGTCGGAGGTGGAGTGGCTTTAGAGGGCCCCATGTCCACTGGGTTAAGAGCTGCTGTTACCCCACGGGCCATGGGAGGAAATGTCCCCTGAGTTGCCCTCGGCACTGCCTGCTCTTGTGACCACTGGCTCCTCTGCGGTTCCCACTCTGGTTTTGTTCACCTCAAGTTTTCTTCCTCACTCTCACCTCTGTCCCCTTGGTGAGCCACACTTGGTTCCTGAGTTGATTCTATGCCCTTGTGTTTTCCAGCCCTTGTGATAGCATTTAATGCTCCTGGGGCTAATTCCTGCCATTTTTCAATTTCTCCCTTTCCCATCAAAGACCCACTGCATGCCCAGCACTTTCCTGACTCAGTTTCTGCCGGTCCTCATTGGGTGAGGCCGGGGCTGGAGCTGTCGTGGAGAAGACCGCCAAGAGCAATTTGGTGCTATTTCCTCCCCATGCATCCAACACCCTTGCACCTGCTCTCCCCACGCTTAAGACAAAACACAGAATGTACGTGCATGTGTATAGACCAAAGGATGTGCAAGGGTGTTTATTGCAACATCACTGAAAATGCAAAAGAAACAACTTAAATCTCTGTCAATAGGAATAGGTTATGATACATCCAAGTAATAGGGTCAAAGACAACCGTCTGCATCTAGACATGAAATAATCTTGAAGATCAAATTTTTAAAATTTATTTATTTATTTTGAAAGAGGCAGAGAGAGAGAACCCCAAGCAAGCTCTGTGCTGTCAGCATAGAGTCTGATGTGGGGCTGGAATTCACAAACCATGAGATCCTAACCTGGCTAAGACCAAGAGTCAGGTGCTGACTGAGCCACCCAAGCACGCTTAAGGTCAATTCTTTTTTTTTAATTTTTAAAATTTATTCATATTTGAGAGAGACAGAGACAGCACGAATGGGGCAGGGGCTGAGAGAGGGAGAAAGAATCCCAAGCAGGCTCTGCACTGTCAGGGCGGAGCCCGATGTGGGGCTTAAACTCATGAAACCATGAGATTATGACCTGAGATGAAACCAAGAGTCAGATGCTTAACCAAGTGAGTCACCCAGGAGGCCCTTAAGATCAATTTTTAAGTGAAAAAAGCAAGGGTCAGAACAGTGTATAAATTTTGCTACTGTTTGTGTTAAAAAAAAAAAAAGAAAACAGGAAGTGATATTTATATATGCATGGAGTTTTTCTGGAAGGCAACAGAGTGGGTTACCACTGGGGAGGCACCATGAGTAAGTGGGGGAAGTGGCGGTAGTGAAATTTCCTTTCTGAGTTTAGTACCATGTGTCTAGTACCAGTTCAAAAAACTCTAACTAAAAACAAGGCAAATACTTCAGAAGCAACATAGCAACGTGGAAATAGACAGAGCGTTGGGGATCACCCCTTAGTTGTATAGACTAGAACATCATGCCACAGGGGTAAATAATTTGGTCAGATTCTCACTACTATGAAGTGACAAGCTATGACAAGAAGCTTCACTGTCGTTTGGCACCTACGCTCTAGGGAATGCAGCTTCAGAACCCTGTGCAGCCAAACTTATAAAGGATGGGGTTGTCCCTCCGGGCAAGACATTCAAGATTCCGTTTCTTCATTTGTAAAATGTGAGCAAGGAAGTTGCAGGGGAGATGAAATTAGCTGTGGCTGTTTATCCTAGATCCCAGCTTGTGCTAAGCATTTGATAAACACCAGCCAGGGAGGGCTGTGAGGAAGGTTGTCATAGAAGTATCTGGAGATGGAGGCTTGTAGGGTAAAGAAAAGTAAAACAGAGAGGGAAAGAGAGACCCCTTGATTCTCACTTATTTAAATAGTCACTAGAGATTCTGAGCACTAAATGATGCTTATGTTAAGGTGTATGTGAGAGGGATGTTGGGGGGAGAGAAACTTCAGCCTCTTTCACTCCAAAATGTCACTAAGGGCCACCTGTGACTAGCACTGCCTCTTATGCTAAAAAATAAATGTACACAACCCAGGAGCATCTGGTGTGCTTCTTTCCATTTCTCTTTCATCCCTGATTATCTAAATATTCTCATTATTCCTGCTACCTTATTTCCTTTCCTGTTTCCTCTTCTTCTGAGGCCACAGGTCAAATGGTGACTCAAATCCTTCCTTGGAGAGGTGTGGAACACGTCCTGCTGTGCATCTGGGCTGAGTTGCTTAGAGAGAGCCCCACAAAGCTGACATTTCTGGGACCCATTCCTCTCCCTTCCCCTTTGTGCCAAGAAACTGCTTCCTTCCAGGTGAAGGGGCTAGAACAGGGGGTTCCCTTTCTTGTTCACCACTCCTTGCCTTGTAATCGTTATATTCCCGTCTTATCAGAGGGAAAATATTGTGTGGATTTCGAGGCTCGGTTTCAATGGTTGGCCCTCTTGGGTTCAAATCCTCCTCCACGATAGCTGTGTGATCATGGGCATGCAGTGCAACTGCAGTGTGACCTCTTTGCCCCAGTTTCTATCTGAAAAAATGGTGAGGACGAAATGAGATAATCTGGGTAAAAGACAGAGCACAGGATTTGGCTTAGTAAATTCTCTATAAAGGTTAGCCAAAAATAGTGGCAGCAGCCACAAAATAAATAAACTTAAAAAAAGAGTAAAAATAAAATCCTGCACTTGGCATAAACACATGAGGAACACCAGCTAGTTATACTCTGTAGTTTGTAATCGATTCTGGTGGCATTTACCAATGTGATTATTAAGTGGATTCCCTGTTCTCGGGGGAAATGGAAAGCTTTGTCTATAGAGCCAAACAAAAAATTAGATTGTGATCAAACATAGTTTTATAAATTAAATCAGAGGCATTCATTGTCATTCAGTCATGCAAACAGATAAGGTATGGAGTTGGCTCTGTTATTCACTAACAAAGGAGGGCCTAAAGCAGCTGGCTTTTCTGTTTGCAGAGCACCTTTCACTTAGAAAGAATGTTCACATAAGTCATTTAATTGATAATTTTTCTCTACCCTAAACTCTTGCTCTTTTCCTCGATGGGCCCCATTTGAATGACAGGCAACATGATGGCATAGTAGGATGAAAACCTTTGGCTTGCTTTACTCTGATCACTACACAGCCTGGTGAGGAAAGATTTGTCAGACAGTCATCAGGCCAATAGTCCTTCCCTGTCCTGTGATGAGCCCCAGGACGGTTTTTCAACACAATCTGAAATTCAAAGAAAATAAGCCTGTTTATAGCTTCTTAATAGGGAAAGTTCTTTCTATTCTAGGCAAAGACGCTTTTTATTAACTATATTTAAATATTGGTGCAGTTTCCTTAGTCTCTAAGGGAACTTCCCCCTTGAGAATTTCCCTTTACAGATGAAATTCACGTGGTGTTTTTATTTAGAATTCAGGAAGACTTCTGTCAGATAATCTCAGGGACTCCATTCTCTGCAGAACGTGAGACCTGATGCTGAAATCTATTCAATCTCCCCAGTTTCCAAGAATTCTTCCACACTGATAGGTAACCTTTGATGAAAAATTAGGATAGCACGCACACTTCAGTGTGGTGTGGCAAGTAGTTAACTTTCAGGAAACATGAATTTCAATTTATCCAGAAATGTTATGGAAATAGCATGATACCCTCTAGGAGATGTGCTGGAATATCACCCTTGACATAACAAAGCTTCTCAACGCCCTTTGTGTCTGAAGTCTCTGGTCAAGACCAAACAGCCTGTATCAGTGGGAGGTTTGTTTCTGGGTTCTGTCTGATTCCATGTTCAATATACTCCCAGCTTGAGCTCCATTTATGTTAAATCAATACTGTGTCACAGTGAACCAGATGACCAAGTGCAGTAGATCAAGTTTACCACTGGATGCATGTAGGATAAATGTAAAAATCATTGAAAACGTAACATACTAGCTTTGTCTCCATGGCAATCTCAATTTTGTGTATGTTCCTTCAGGGTTTTTTGAGGAGTCAGAGCAGTCAGCAGATAGAGCCCTGGAACTGGAAGACCAGCATGAAGACTCTCATATTCAGATGACCACAGCACAGTTCACTTCAGTGACCGCAGAAACATTCATTGTAACCACAAATTTTACCTACATTGAGGAGGATGCAGATCAGTTAGAGTTTATATTAATGGTGTTGATCCCACTGATTTTATTGGCCCTCCTATTTGTATCAGTGGTGATCCTTGTATCACGCTATAAAAGGAAAAGAACTAAACAAGGTAAGTATTCTGTGTGTTCCCATTTCCAGACAATTGCTTCACGCGTTAATGAGCAATCAATAAAGCAAAAACACTTTCTGCTTTTATGCAGAGCCTTCTATCCAAGGATCTCAGAGTGCCTTACAGACACGTGAGTATGATCCCAATTAATGCCTGTCTGAAGCTGGGGATGGGGGAGGAAAAGGAACGGAGAGGTTTTAAAGTTAAGCAACAAGGGCTACATAAAATAGTAAGGGGTGAATATTCCCTTGTTTTTCAAACAGAGGGCGGCTTCAGCCTCTACTGTAATTTAAAACACACAATTGCCATCTCTGTGCTTCACCCAGACGAGGGCCTGGGTGAGGCTGGCCAATGGGCCCATGTAACGTTCCCTGAGTTGGAGGAAATGATTGAGCTGGCAAAGCAGTGGGTCAGATTGGGGTTGAGGATGGGGACGCTGAGAACTTGGGCTCATCTCCACAAGAAGGGGATTCTCCCGTGTATATTTCTGGCCAAGATACTGTTTTCTCCTCCACGCCACAGCCTAATTTGATTGTGTAAAGGCCCGAGTAAAGCATCGTTCTTATTTTCATTAAGGCTATGCTAACTTTTGTATGAAATTCCTAATTGGCTAAAGATTACCGTCATCAATCTGAAAGCAACCTGATGGAGAATTCCCTAGGTCAGAGATACACTCCAGGGGTACTCCATTCCAATTCTTGGAGCGACACATACTAGGTGTCATGGTGGTTCTAAGTCCAAAGGAGACTTGAGTACTTTTGGCTCGTGCTGGTAAAAAGGACCCCAATTAGATTTTTAAGCTGAAGCCTTCAGTTATTCCAAAAATCACTCAAGGGATGAGACCATCCCTAATCAGTTCCATATTGATAGGTGCAGACAGCACTCACTGTCTCTCCCTCACACTCACTAATGGGGCACCTCTGGCTTCGAGATCATGCTCTTGGCCTGTGGGTCTTGCTCACTGTCCTCGCACCAGAAGAGGCTGTGAGGTTGTGGCAGGAGCTATAAATGGTTATTTTCCATTATGCCAGCAGGTGTGGCAAATGTGAACTGGGGAAGAAGCACTGATGTGCATTACCTTTGTTGGCAGGAGCCAATATAACAGATTCCAAGGGAGTAGGAAATACACATGTTTCTCCACTGCTTGAAATTTCACGGTGACCTAGTAACAGTGGTCACATGGGAGCTCCTCTGTAAGCTAAAGAAAAAGATAAAGCAAACAGTGCTGTCTGGACCCCATTTTCGTGACTTTGGGGAAAGTAAGAATTTCCTGTGTAAACCATAGTCTGGCAGCCAGTCATACCCAATGATGCCATGGGGTTTGGGGGGAGGATGCTGGTGTCCCGCCAAACATGCATGCTCTCAGGCTCTAAATACAGAAAGGGATTTATGATTGAACTTTGTTGTGGGAATCTCAGAGCTCAAAAGCCATTCATGACCAAGAACTGGCCTCATTCTCAGATGTGGCTCGTACGTCCTGCACAGGACCCACATTTGAAGTGTTTGCTGTTCCCAGAGTGTGGCTTACCATTCCATGATGCTTACATGCCTGGTTGACATTATTCTGCTGTTTGAGATTTCCTTCTTGTCCGCAAATTTCCACCCTACTATTCAATACCCAGTTCTTTTATGAAGCCTTGAGTAATCACTCCCCGGGCAAAATTAGTCACCACCTCTTCTGTGCTCTTACAGACTGTGTTCACACTTACGTGCACAGTATTTACATTGGCATAAGTTGATGTCTTGTCTTCTTTTTTTATTTTTATTTTTTGGTCTTTCTTACTAGGTGATGTTCTCTTTAAGGCCCAAGAGAATCAAGAACTTGTTTATCTTGTTTAATAATATGACATCGAGGTTAGAGTATGGACTTTGGAACCACACCACCCTGTTGGTGTTTTTCTTAGCTCTCTGACTTCTTCAATTCAGTTTCCACATCTGCAAATGGGCAAATTCGACACCTAGCTGACAGGGACCGCATGAGAATTAAATGGATTCATGTATGTAAATCACTTAGTAGAAAGAGTAGCTGGCATATTGTGTTAGCTTATTAGTATGATTATCCCTTTTACCTAACACAGTGTCTAGCCCAACACATTTATTAGCTGCTCAATAGGTGTTTGTCAGATGAATGAGTTAATAAAACAATGTTAGAACTTTTTTTTTTTAAAAGAATACCTTTTCTCAGAGATAAAGACCATTTTGCAACTTATTCTTAATACCAATTGACTCATTCTTTTTGGTTTAAATATGCCTCACTTTAAGAGGACACAACACAGGGGCACCTGGGTGGCTCAGTAGGTTAAGCATCTGACTCTTGGTTTCGGCTCAGGTTATGATCTCATGGTTGCATGAGTTTGAGCCCCACATTGGGTTCTGCACTGACAGTGGGGAGCCTGCTTGGGATTCTCTCTCTCGCTCTCTCTCTGCCCCTCCCTGGTTCGTGCTGTCTCTGTCTCAAAATAAAGAAATAATCTTAAGAAAGAAAGAAAGAGAGAGAGAGAGAGAGAAACACAGACATCTTGAAATGTCAAAACAATTGCTAATCACAAGTTTTGATAGAGCTTTATTTAAATATTTTCTTTTACTAGTCACTCCTTTGGTGTAGATGCAGACGGTTAACTGCTTAACCGATGGATGTCTCTTCAAACAAAGTAAATGCTAGAAGGTTAACAACTACTGTCCGCTGAAGTCTCCTATTCATATAATGCAACATTATAACACAAATCAATAAAAGCAGAGTATTTAAGTTAACAAAATGTTACTCAAATATTTTTCCAGGAAAAATAAAACTGTCATACTGGGTCAGACCAGCAGTTTGCTTGGCAAGTATTCAAAACAACGTTTTGTGGGCGGGCACGGATGATGTCCGCTTAGAAAGTTAGACACCTTGGTATTTCCCCCACCTGAATAGAGCCCGGTATGCTCCTCTGCACCAGTTTGACCACTGGGAGGCGCCTTGCCAACACATTTAGAAAGAACGGTTCTTGGGGGTGCCTGGGTGGCTCAGTCAGGTGAGCGTCTGACTCTTGATTTCTGCTCAGGCCATGATCTCGTGGTTGGTGGGCTTGAACCCCACGTCAGGCTCTGTGCTGTGAGCTTGGAGACTGCTTGGGATTCTCTCTCTCCTTCTCTCCCTGCCCCTCCCCTGCTCTCTTGCTCGCTCTCTCTCAGAATAGATAAACATAAAAAACATTGAAAAAAAAAGAGAAAGAACTTTTTTTCTGATTGAAAATTACGTTTTTTTCTTTGGGCCTGTCTGTCCATTTCCAGTCCAGGAAAAAGGAAATGCTATGTAGTAACCTGATGTTCTGTTACCATTCTTCCTAGACCTGCAGGCATTAAATTTGCAATTGTTATTATTTAACATTTATTAAGTGTTTCCATGCGCTGTGCCTCTCTGAGACAGCTGCAGGGAAAACAGCTGGCGGTAAAGCGTCCCTTTAAACAGGCTGTGGCTACACGACACTTGGGTCTGCTCAGTAAATCTCCCGAAAGAGACTCTGTCTCTTGCTCAGTGCTCAGCATGGAAAAAAGATAAATGAGCCGCTCTCCCGTGGGGCTCCTGCCCTCAACCCCTCACCCCAGCGATGCCACCATCTGAGGTACACAGAGGAGGGTGGCGGACAGTGGGGGCATGGTCAGGCTGAGTGGGTGTGACTGGGAACCGCGGGCACAGGACTAAATGGGTAGAAGGGTAAGCAATGGAAGGGCCGTAGGAGGGAAAATGGAATCAAGTGCAGGTGGGGGGCTGTGTAAGAGGTGCATTTGCCCTCCGGTTGCAAAGGGAGTAGATGGCTATTAATAAAGAGATATAGGCCAGGTGGAGTGGAGCAGACAGGGCCTGATTGCTGAGGGCGTGTAATTGGTCTCCCTCTTGGTTTAATGCTCGGCTCTGGTGTGCTCTCCCGATGTTTTTCTGTTGCCATGGTGGCTGGGGCAGGGGTAATGGTCTCGGAGCAGGGGAGACGAGGCCACAGAAGGCTTTTTGCTCTGTTTGAATAATGATTCCAGGAGCTTCACGTTCGGTGCATCTGGAGCACTTTTGTAATGGGGTTTTAAACTTTTCCATCGTCTGCATGCAAGGTTAGCTTTCGTTCACCGCAAAGCCTGCGGGTGCTCAAATTATAAAGATAAATCCATGCCCTCTACAGTCGGGCTGTGGGGCCACCTGCTCTCTGAGAAATTAGTTGGGGGAGGTTTACTAAGCAGGGAAAGAGGGGGAAGGAAGGAGAGGGAGTGACCAAACAGGGGATCGTTATGGGTCACCTGTAGCGGAGGTTCAGTGTGTAGGGGCTTTATTTATAGTAAAATCCTTTAGGGAAATAGCATGTGAATTTTAGCTGAAAAATATACACAGATAAAATATGAGATGAACATACTCTCCTTTCCCCAATCTAAGTGTCTGAGGAGTCAAGCACTTGCAGGAAGCTTCGGTAGCAGGAGGCAGAAAGATATAACCCACAGGCCCTGGAAGGTAAGCAGTGGAGGCTCGAAACTTCCATCTGTGCCCAGCTTTCCTGGATCGGCAATGCCGTGAAAGCTTGCCAACCCACAGGAAATTAAAGTGGCTCCCAGCTGCCAGAGGCTCAGTCCCAGGTGCCTGCTGGTTGTGTTTCCTCCATGGGGACCGCGTTTCTGCAGACCAGGCAAAGAGACCATCAATTGCCAAGGACCAGGACCATCTGACCATTTGGTGGACTTCTATCACGTGGTTTGCTTCTCAGTGGTTTTCACACCGTGAAAGCTGCCAAGGGCCTATGCTATCCACTCGCTTGACATTGCCTCTCTTCTCTGTATGCATAGGTTCCCCTGCCAAGCAAAACGAAGCTTGAGCTGGGGAATAAGGCTCTGATTCTTGCCACATGTTCATCCGGAGTCTGATGGGCATTTGACAAACTGTTGCCTGGTTGTCCCTTCAAACACAGCAACAAAAAGCAAGTTTGCTTAAAGCTTCACTTTTACGACATTGCTAAGTCCAAAACATTGGACGTGAATTTAACCCACGTTAGACCATCCAGATAAAGACCTGCTCATTTATTCAATGCACATTTACTGGGTGTTTGCCAGGTACTATGCTAGCTGGATGGGAGGTGGGGGGTAGCGGGACCACAAGACAGACATGATCTCTGGCCTTCTGATACTATGTTTTAGTGGGAGCCATAGACAAAATTACGCAGGTGGACTGATCAATGACAAGTGTGGCAATGACTAGTGTGGAAGCTAGCAAGGTGCTGAGCTGGGGGATGACTGGAAAGGTGGGCCCTACTTCAGAGATAGGAAGTGGGGGGGGTGCTCCTTGAGGAGAGAGTATAAGCTGAGACCAGAAGGGTGTGAGGGGTCCAGCCATGCAAGCAGCAGGGGAGAGAGCAGAGTTCCAAGGGGAGTCCTGATGGAATACCTCACCACCTGCCCTGGGACAAGGCACAGTGTTGGGCTCAGTGTGTCACATGGAGATACAGCAGCAGTGTGTTGAACTGGGACATGTTGGGGTAAGGGGCCAAGGAACAGTCCCTCTTGCCCGACTCTCCCTTGCTTCCCATTGCCACTGTTTTCTTCTTCATATGGATTAAAGAAAATAAAAAGTGAGGGGTGCCTGGGTGGCTCAGTTGGTTAAGCGTCCGACTTTGGCTGAGGTCATGATCTCACGGTTCATGGGTTCAAGCCTCATGTCTGGCTCTGTGCTGACAGCTAGCTCAGAGCCTGGAGCCTGCTTCAGATTCTGTGTCTCCTTCTCTCTCTGAGCCTCCCCTGCTCACGCTCTCTCTCTCTCTCTCTCTCAGAAATAAATAAAACATTAAAAAAAAGTGAGAAACATCTGATTTGAAGTCAACACTCTCAGAGAACCATCATATCTTAAAAAAAAAAACAGATTTCATGTGGTAAATTAGGACCTCATTTCAATATGGTGCATGTTTGACTTTACTCAAAGTCGTCTCTTGTCTTTATAAAGGAGATTTAGCTGCTGTTGAACTAAAAAGTTGTTCTAGACAATGAAAGCTAACATGACCTTTATATCTATTCTCTTTAGATGAACTGGGAAGTGAGAACATGAAAGTGTAAGTTGCTGCTTCCCCCCCCCTCCCCAGCTCAGTGTAGACAAGTATATCCCAGAGAGGAGTAGATGAGAGAGCCATTGCCTTTTTAAGAGTTTTTGTTCTGACACCCTTGAGTGTTCTCTTGGTTCCTGGGCCCCAGGAGAGGGCCCTTAGCAGCCTGCGGTTGGGCAGGCAGCAGGGGGTGGGGGGGAATGCACCTGTCTCCCGACCTCAATTCAGTGGGGGTTCTGGGTGAAGAACAGGGTCCGCTTCAGAAAAAAAAAAAATCTTTTTTGACTGCTACCAGTTCCAAATGCATCGTAGTTAAATATTCTGACCCTGGGTGTATTTCAAGGACGTTGGTTCATTTATTCTCATAAAAAATTTTATCACCAGGAAAGATAACATTCCCTGGTAGGAAAGGGGAGCCCTGGTAGAAGAATAAAGTTCATGCTGCAGAATCGCAGTGAGGCAGGAGGGAGAAGAGGAATGGAAGGGGAGAGGAAGGAGGGATGGAGCGGGGAGCGGGCAAAAAGAGAGAGAGAACAAGATTCCACCAGAAGAGTGTTCCGGGCAGATGTCACCATCTCCTCCCGCTTTCCCCTTAGCAACCTTGCTTGTTTATACACTTTGCTGGCTTCCTCTTCACACCCTCGTCTCACACCCGGGCTCCTCTACAAGCCTTCCTTTCACACCCCAGAGCTGGTGGTCTCCTCCCCAACGCCATCTACCAGGGGCTTCTTTCCCATAACTGTGTGCTCTGAGGGCAATGGCTTTCTGAAAACAATGACTTTCATTTCTCTATGTCAGAAAAGCCTGGGAATGAAAGGAGAGGTGATAAAAGCAGCCTATCCACAGTGGCCTCTTGACCCAGGGCACAGGTTGGAAACCACAAGGAAAGGGAAGTGAAATTAAGCAAGGCTAACATGCTAAACAGGGCAACTCCCCAGGGGAACCTCATGGTAGAAGTCTGGCAGCTCAAGATGGCACCTTCAGGGAAGCAGTTGGAGTCTCCCGGGCTCCCTTGCAGCCCAAGAGCAGCGTTCTGCGCCTTCCATCATTGGATCAGTGATAGATGAAAGTTGATTGTAGATCGAGCCTTTCTCCCTCTTAGAGTTTGGTGAACAGGGCAAAGCCACAATCTGCCATGGAGGGTCACACAACAAATCCAGCTCGCCTTTTCCCCAGTCAACCTTCTGGGCTTCCCCAAAATGAAACTCGGCCCACCACACTTCTGTTTGTTTCTGTTCTCCCTCTAGCCCCATTTTTGAGGAAGACACACCCTCTGTTATGGAAATTGAAATGGAAGAGCTTGACAAGTGGATGAACAGCATGAATAGAAATGGTACGGGTAACCTAAAGTTGTTTTTTCTGTCCTCTCTGGTATGTGAAGGTTGCAAGGGTTTTATAAATGCCCCGTAAATCCTGGAATGTGATGGTATGAGCCCAAGCTGCATTAGATCTGGAGCGTGCAGATAATCAGCTTGGGTCTGGCTATCCTTAAGGATTCACTTTAAGGGGTGCCCAGGTGGCTGAGTTGGTTAAGTGTCCGACTCTTGATTTCAGCTCAGGTCATGATCTCACACTTTATGGGATCGAACCCTACCGCAAGCTCTGTGCTCATAGCAGTGAGCCTGCTTGTGATTCTCTCTCTCTCTCTCTCTCTGCTCTCCCCTACTTGTGCTCTCTCTCTCTCTCTCAAGTAAATACACATTAAAAATAAAAGACTCAGTTTAATTACTGCATCACACGCTGCCATTTGTTTTTACTTTTGTACAATCTTTTCAAACAGCCTTTTTCAAGAAGATTTTTTTTTTTTTTCAAACAGGGAGCTCTCTGGGTCCAAATTATCTGGAAAAAGCTAGCATCTGGCATTACCTTACCTACTGTAGAATTTAGAGATTTATGATTTTGATCTGTATATGGATACAAAACTTTGCCACATATAATTTACATACATCAGTGCTGTTCAGTGCAATAAATGCCAGTCAGATGTGGCTATTTAAATTAAAATTTAAAAAATTAAATAAAGTTAAAAATTTTGTTCTTCAGTCACACTTGCCACATTGCGAGTGCTCAGTAGCCACTTGGGACGCATAGCTACTGTGTTATACAGCACAAATCTAGAACGTTTCCATCACTAAACAAAGTTCTATAGGACAACACTAAAACAGATAGCAATATAACTTATTTCCTAATTGATACCTGGCAGTAATTGCTGTATGTGTTCCTTACTTTTCATTAAATCAATATTTGGATTTTTAAAAAGATGGTAGCACTGCACCTGGGTGGCTCAGTTGGTTAAGCATCCGACTTCAGCTCAGATCACGATCTCATGGTTTGTGAGTTCGAGCCCTGCATCGGGCTCTGTGCTGACAGCTTAGAGCCTGGAGCCTGCTTCAGATTCTGTGTCTCCCTCTCCCTGTCCTTCCCTTGCTCATGTTCTGTCTCTCTGACTCTCTCAAAAATAAATAAACATTAAAAAAATTGTTTGTAAATAAATAAAAAGTAAAAAAGGTGGTAGTTAGTTTTTCCCTTTTAAAATTCCTGTAAAAGTCAATAAATGATTTTTAACACTCAGGTTATATTCATAAAATCCTCTATTTATATTATCATATCATTTGTACTTTTAGCATTCAACTTTAAAAAATACCCTGGGGTCTGTCAGATTCAACGATAGTGAAGCCCCCAAATCCAGAGACCTGTTATTAGAATTATTGTACCAGAGGCTTATCAACATAAGCTTTCCCAAAGATTAGAACCATTCAATAAACTTGTACAATTTTGAACAGCACAGTTTTTCATAGCCCAATACTGAAGCAAGAATGGCTCTGTAAAGCATCTGAGGACAGGGGCGGGTCACTGAGATAATCCTTAAGGCAGTTTCATTTTGTTGTTTTGGTTTACAAAATGTACATACATAATAATTTGGAAAATGCAAAAAAAAAAAAGGAGAAAGAAGAAAAACTTCACCACCCAAAGACAACCTCTCTTAATAATTTGACATCTTTCCTTTCATATCTGAGATTACTACAATATATCAGAATCCCATTACACTCACAAAACCAGAAACCCAGAAAAAGGCATTTCTATTTCATAACTACAGCGGAGAGTTATTTTGACACATAGGTGATGGAGTCGATGGGTTTTGTTTTTCCTTAAAACTAACTGTCAGATGATAGGAGAGAACTCTGATGACTTTCAGAAGGTTAGTTGTTCCTCAGCTTACTTACTGCTTTTCGATCGTGCATCCTGACTGAAATCAGTCTGCAGGCACATCAGGACCTCCGGTACAGCTATTTTATTCCAGTGTCAAACCTGAAACATGCAGATTCTAGCTTTTGGAGCAAGAGTGGGGCTCTTCAGGGACTGAATAACCAAGCAGTGATGAATTGTGCCCTTTCCAACAGGGCCAGAGGCATGTTGAAGTCTTGTATCTGTGCTACTAACGCTTTTTTTCCATTTCAAGAGCCTTGCCATCATTAATCTTTTAACCTCTAGAGCTCCCTAGTGAGACCATTTCTGTACAAGTAACCAGACAGAGCAGGGAAATGTGGTGCTCAAATGTACGAGTTTTGTGGGTAGAAAATAGAATTTGGGTGATTAACAATGAGTTTACTTATATTCTGTCCTAGCTGACTGTGAATGTTTACCTACTTTAAAGGAAGAAAAGGAATCAAACCACAACCCAAGGTACTTCTAATTTCTGTCATTGATTATATGTGTATGGGGGAGGGGATTGGAGACCACGGTAGAGCACTTTCGCTTACCGTCTCTGCACCTATAAATTTTATGTGACAATTTACATGGGCATACATATGTGTAGTGTGGAGAAAAGAAAATGTGAGCTATTGCAAATAGAAAGTACAAAGTAAATATCCTAATGACTCTATCTTTTGAAGTAAATTAGTATTGGCATTTTCTTGCCCTTCTGAAGAGATACTGTTGAGTCGACTTCTGTTTTAGCCATAAAACTTTCCAATTATAATGAACTATAGGTTTGTTTACCTTGGATGAATAGATGTTTGGTAAGGAAAACAGATGGAAGTGACAGACTTACAGAGGAAAACTGTAAATATGAGTGGGCAAAATGAACATATAAAAAACAAAGCAAAACAAAACAAAACAAAACCCCACCTGGATTAAGTTGTCGTAAGAGAGAAATTAAATGAGAATTTAAGAAACATATTCTGTTCTACCACTAGGTGGCTCTGCTTGATAGAAAAATTCTATTAAGCAGCACACCACAGTCTTGCTTAAATTTTGCTCTTTTCTGAGGATATGATCAGAAAATGATCACGCTTGGGGTATTTTTGATCAGAGAACTGTTTGGTCAGGATGTGGGAAATGTCGCAGGAGAAAGGATTGATGATTCAGCAACGTGGGGACTTGTTCCACACAGCGGCACTGTGATTTTGGGGGCACCAAATTGTTGGTAGAGGTGACTCAGAGGTGATCAGTGAGTAGAGAACTTGACTGAGCCCGTGACTGAGACTTTACACTTCTGTTGGAATAAATAGAATAAACTTTCAGAGCATAGTAAATACCACCCATCTTCTCTCCCTCCATGTTAACCAGAGGTCTTGTGCCTGTCATCTTAAATGCTTCCAGAGTGTAGACACTTGTCACGGGCAGTCCCTGAGGCTGGAGGCTTGCAGGGAAAGACTGATAGCAGACGGCGATCAGGGCAGTCAGATGTTTGTCTTCTGGACCCTTATTCTGCACCTTCCCTTAAACCTTATCCGAAAGGTCATCACCCTTCATCTCACACATCACGCCCCTATAGTCTTACTGAGGTAAACCTCAGCTCTGATTCGGAGGCCCACTTCTTATTGAAGATTTTAGTCAGTGTTACCTGTCCAGGTACTTGCATGTTAAAAATTCATCACTGGTTCAGAAAAAATTCTATCCTATGTAAATGAGGTACCAGGTATTAACAAGTAGATGAAAGGAAAAAATGCTAACGGGAGCATCACAAAGGAGATTACAAAGGAATATTTTCTCTGCATTTTAATCTTACCTAAAAATAAGTCACCGTGTATGTTCAGCACATGGCTCAGATCGCCACCAAAACCCTATAAATATCTTATGACTGTATTTCTGATGGGCACCTGCAAGTCATGTGGAACACTGGTGGTTTTCATACGACTGCCTCTTGATTTTTGAAATTGTTGGCAACATAGAAAAAACTTAATGTTTGAGAACTGTATGGTTGTGAACGCATCTTAGAAATCACATTTTTGAAATATTGAAAGGTTGGGCTTTGAGATAAGGTCCAGGTCATTTCTGCCTGTAGGACAAAAAGCCTTAACCTATTTGGAGAGCTTCTTTATGCTAACCTATTTTTTTTTTTTTTTAAGGGGAATGTCTATATTCCTCTGTTGGTCCAGAACTATCTGGCTTTAATTCACAGGACAAACGTCAGACCTTACCTCACTCCCCCTCAGTAAAGCCAGCACCAGCATTAAGAATCATCAATGGCAAGCCCCAAGGCTTTGGTGTCATAGATACTTTCCGACTGCTGCAAAGAGTAGTAAAATATTGTAAAGCAAATCTAATATTTAGTCACTAAAAGTCAGAAAGATACAGGCAGAACAAGGCCTGCCACAAAAGAAACTCTCAATAAGTATTGGTACTCTTATTATTAACTTAAAATTGATGTACATAAATTGGCTGCCTTTTGGGCTGGCTAGCCTGTGTCCAAAGGCCCAGGCCCATCCACAGTACTGGTTGGGGCATTTTTTTTTTTTTAAAGGCTTTATATTTTAGAGCACTTTTAGGTTTACAGCAAAATGGAACAGAAAGTACAGTACACCCCCTACCTCCACATGCACAGCCTCCCCGGCTATTGGCATCTGACACCACAACAGTGCATTTGTCACAATCAGTTAACCTACTCTGATACATCATTACCCCCAAAGTTCCCAATTGACTTTTACTTCTGTGATTCATCCTTCCTCTACCATGTAAGAGGTGTACTAGTGACTGTAATGCTTCAGAAAGCATAGAACAGTCACTGAAGATGGAACTTAGTAGAAAACACACTTCTCCGTCCTCTTGCTAAACTTGGGCTTCTGGACTCTATTTAAAAGGCTCAGTCCTTGTTGATGCTAGAAAGACACCCTGATACAGAACCTCTTAGGCATAAAGTCCATGTACTTCCGGAAAAAGGAGTGATCTGGTCACCATCCTACACTTAATGCACCTCCCTGGGTACAAAGACTTTTCTTGTTAGGGTCCATAATCTCCAGCCTTTCAGAACTTCTCCCTCGTATCTTATTGGCAAGCCATTGTCCATTACTTTGCCCTGTCCTCATTGAATGGACATTTTCTTTTATGCTGTGGAATCTAAAATTTAGCACAGGTTTTAATAAATGCCAGAGACATACAAAACATTATAGGAAGTTTATACTACGGTTTTTGTATCTTTAAAAAATCCGTAAGAAAAGACAACCAAAGAATTGTGGAGGAGGGAGGGTTTTATATTCTTATTTCCTTAGCATTTTCCTCTTAATTCATATTGGTTCTGTGCTAGGCAGTGTAAGAGGTAGTGGGAATAGTGGTAGTAGAATAGTGGCTAGGTGGTGTGGCAAGGCTGTGGGAGAGGTCTGCCCTAGGGTTGAAAAGAATTTCATCACTGACACTGTTAATGTTTGCCAGCACATGCTGATAACAAAAAGCAGATCTATCGAGCTGGTTTCATTACTGTTTAAATTCTCTGTAAAGAATGCACCCCCTTATTGTCTACCCCTACCCTCACAGCACCTTCCTGAATGGCGCTAAGGAGTGGTAACAACAGGAAGGAGAGAATCCCTTTCATCATAGTGCTTAAGGTCTGGCCAGCCTGTCCTTTCTTCCCAAAGCGTTCATACTTAGACAATTTCCTGCAAGCATGGTGTTCTGTCTCTGCAAGCTTAGCTGAATAACCACGGAAAAGGAACTGCAAATAATAGCCAAGTGTCCATCTTCTTTCCTTTATGCCAACTGGCCACAGTGATGAGTTTATATTGAGTAGCGAAAGACTAGGGAGAAAATCGATTTGGTTTCATTCAAGTAGATGTATAATTTTGAAAGCTCATTAATAACAAAAATAATAAGACATCTGTATAGCATTTTATATATACTAGATGCCTTAGTACTATCACCTAGGAAATTAACTAGTTACAGGGTAAATAACAGCATGCCTGTTCTGGTTTTGTAATAATTCTATTGTTTATTTTATGATTCATGTCTAAGCTCAATGACATAAAAATGGATCACTTCAATATTTTTCAGGAAAATCCAGCTTAGTTTAATAAAGAATTTTGTCAATTTCTTCCTGTTTCCTCTCTTCTCTTAACCTTTTTTTTTTTAAAGAAAAGTATGATTGTTGATATAATTTTACAAAATATATTTACCGAACACCTAATATGAACACCTGATGCCAGACAGTGCCTGGCATTGTCTACATCATGCCAGTTCAACCGGTTAAAAATGAAATAATCTGTATGAGTAAGCCTGGAACTCCGAGATGTTAAGTGATTTGTCCAATTTACACAGCAAGTTTATGATAAAGTTCAGTATTTCTCTTAAAACTGCATTTTCATTTATTAATTAGTTAAAATGAGATATTCCATAAATTAAGAGACAGATTAAAGATAGAAAGAAAAAAAAAAAACAAGGAACACACAGCAGCAAGAAAGGCAGCCACCATGAGGCTGGTACTTGAAAGTATTTGGCAGAAGATGTATCCCTCATCCCATGTATTCACTGAAAAGATCAAACCATTACTTGCAAGAAAACAGCGGTTTTGGTGAACTCTTTTGGCCTCTCTGCTCAATAAATCTCTGACTACCTCCAGTTATTTCCTTTGTGAGTTTCTTTCCTCTTTTCCTTTCTAGTCTGTCAAAAGTCATTTAAAACTCAACAAGTATTGAATAGGAAGTATATGAAGTGCCATCTGGTTTCCCTCAAATCTGAGCTTTGTATGATGAGGGATACCAAGTAACATATGAGGGGGACAAAGTAACCACTTATAATCCCACAGGATTATAACCTCAAATAGCACTGTTAAAATGCAGGTGTGTGTGTGTGCGCACTCACATGAGCATGTGGTGGGTGAGAGAAGATGTACTACTAAGTTTAATAAAACACAGCATTGCTTGAATAGTGGCCTAGATTATGTCTACTGTGGGCATGATCTACGTGTCTTGGATGAATTATAGGACTGCCTGTGATATTAGCCAGATGTGTGACCTCTATAATTCCCCCAGGGTGTCAGGCCTCTTTCCAGAAGGAGAAGGGATGTTACACTGATGAAGAGAAAAGGAGCATGATCTAATTGTTATGTGACTTTGTGCTAGCCTGAGCTCTGGACTTACCCAAAACTAAGTTAGGGAGCGTCATTATGTGAGAAAGGTTTAATGTAGGTTTATTGCCATCTTCGTGCTAAGAAACCTTAGCTGTGGTCATAAAGAGGGATTGTTAGAAGATAAACTGGTCAGGAGAACAAAGATGGCTTCTCTGATCCTACCTGCAACCCAGGGGCCGTTAGGAAACAAGGTGTTAGGAGCTGTATCTGTCCTCATTTAACTGCAAGCATTGCAATTAAATGCTTTCTTAAAAATAACAAATTGATGCTTTTTCATCAGTTCGATTTGTTTTTACAGTTTGTAGGCCTGTTACTATAAAGGCCTTCAGGAAAGCTGTCCCACATTCTTAAAATATCCGTATAACACTCTGAGAAAAATTCCTCACTAATGCCACTGCCGTAGACAAGACACGAACCCGGCAGGAATTAACAAGGAGGCAGGCGATAGAGGTTTGTGGCAGGATCACTTACTTTATTTGTTGCGATCGTGTGGCAGTTGGCCAAGATATTTTTAACAGAACTCCAGGATTTGCCAGAGTGAACAACGTCTGGGCTTATTTGATCATTTCATGGAGATGATAAATAGCCCCAAAGACAGCAAGGAACACGCCTAACTAAATAGAGGGATGAACACGAGTGAGAGAATGCTCCGGGCTCCGGCACTGGGCGGAGCCCAGGCTGCTGGCTGCCCACGGGTCTGACGGCCACCGGGCTGCTGCCAGTGAGCATTCGCACGTGAGATCTGCAACACTAGGAACGACCTGATGTCCCACGGCTGAAGCAACTTGTACCCACTTTGGGGCTGTCTTGTGCGGCGGACCTTGTCACGCTGCTCACTGTCCGGCGAGCGCCATATGGGAGCTTCTGTGCTCTTTGGTGCGTGAAGTTAACGAGCTCTGGTTGGTGGACAGTGTCACAGGCGAAGCCTTCAGAACGCGAGTAGAGTGTTCTAAGCAAACCACATTTAAGTACGTTCTCCTCAGAAATGGGAAGTTTGTCTTGGAAGATGGTTTCTTAAAGCCTTCAGGTATTTGAAGCAATGTTCAAGCTTGTATTTCGCCAACACACATTTGCTAGAATCTGCAAAATAAGAATAACATAGGTTCTTTGTATGTCAGGCATGCAGCATAGGGCCTTCCTTACACTGGCTTGCCTACTTTTACAACAACCCGACATGGTACATGGTATTATTATGCATGTTTTCAGACGAGATGAGAACAGGGAACTTCGGCTAAGAAAGGTCAACTTGCCGAAGGTCACATAGCAAGGAAGTGGCTGAGCCCTGGTTCGAGTTCTGGCCATCTGACCCTGTGCTCTTACCTACTGTGCTAAAAGAGCCACTGTTAGTAGGTATGAGCATTAGTACTACCATATAAGGGCAACAAGAGGTGTGAAATACATAGTCATAAACGTAACCAAAAACTGCATGGCGTAATATAAAGAGAAAATGTTCAAAAAAATTTTGAGGGACATAAAAGATTTTTAAAAACAGAGGTGTACTATGTTCCTGAATGAAAGACTCAACTATGTAAAAATTTAAATTTATGGGTGCCTGGGTGGCTCAGTCCGTTAAATGTCTGACTTTGGCTCAGGTCATGATCTCACGGTTCATGGGTTTGAGCCCCGTATTGGGCTCTGTGCTGACAGCTAGTTCAGATTCTGTGTTTTCCTCTCTCTCTACCCCTCCCCCACTCATGCTCTGTCTCTCTCAAAAACAAATAAACATTAAAAATGTTTAAAAAAATTTAAATTTAGAACTCTGCCTTACACTTTAGATTAAAATAGTCTCCAAATAAGCTTAAATGTTAAAAAAAGAAAAATACCCAGGGAAAATATAGATAAATATTATTATAACTTTGAGGTGGAGACTAGTTTGAAAGCATGACCCACAAGTCAGAAACCATATCAGAAAAGCACAGATTTAACTACATTAAAAACTCTAAATTTCTGTACTTCAGAAAACACAATAAATAGAATGAGAAGGAAAATAAAAACTGGGGGAAAGTATTTGCAATACACATATAATAAATAAAAATTATGATTCTAAGACACAAACCAATAAAAAGATAATAATCCCCTTTTAAATATTAGTAAAAATTAGCAATAAGCAATTTCGTAAAAGAAAAAATTGAAATTACCAATAGAGCTTTAAAAATGTTTATTTTTCTCAGTAATTATAAAAAAGTAAAGGTAAGTATACTATTTTTACATATTGGATGAATAAAATAATGAAAGTAATAACAGCCAGTATTGGAAAGGGTGTGGGGTAAAGGATATTTCCCTAAAGAAAGTGTAAGGAGAAGGTAAATTGTACAAAATATCTAGGGAAGGGGGTAATTTGACAATGAGTTGATCAAGCCTTAAAAGAATACACATTTTAACCTGGTAATTCCCCGTCTAGACATTTACCCAAAGGTAACAAATGGAAGTGTGTCAAGATGTAGCATTTTTTTTAGACTAAATAAAAACTTAAGATTGGAAATGGTCTACATGTTTAACAGTAAGGATATGTAGTTTGAAAATGCTTTTTGGTCTCGTGAGAATGAAATGCTCTGTAGCCACTAAAAATATATTGGATATTTATTAGCAAGGACTGATGTCTCCATGTGAATGAGAGTGAGCAAAGCAGATGATAGCACAGTATGCCTAATAGGGATTCCACTTTTGTACAAAAAGCATGTATGCCAATATCAAGGGAAAGAAGTTTGGAAGAACGAACCCCCAAATGTTGACTGTAGTAAGACTGCTAGTATTTTTGCTTTGCTTATTTGTATTTAGTTTTTCAACAAAGGCTATGGATCGGTTTTATCATAATTCAAAAAATCACATCTGTTATAACAGCTGGACGCAGATCAGCATTGTGGACAAAAGAGGGCTGGTGCCCATTGCTACTCAGCTTTGTGTTACACTCTGCTTAGGGGAGCTGAAATTTCCAGATAAGGCCACAGAAGGAAAACACACAATTCACAGACTTCTGTTCTGTAGAGATGAACTCCTGGAGCTTAAAAATAATATCCTGCTACCACCCAATTTCCAAGAAATGGAACCTCCTTGCCCAGTTTAAGAGTGGTTCAGGTTAACTTTAAATAAAGGTGTTGTTACATCTGCTCCTCAGGTAAAAACTTTCTTAGTTTTCCATTAGCTCTCCATAGTAAATAAATTTTGCTATAGAATTTGTACTTTTGTTCACATCTCCTCCTCCTCCTTTCCCACTAACTGTCCAGCCTTATCACATCTTCTTCCCCCGGTCTTCACAACACAAACACACAACCATACACATTACCTTTCCCCTCCCCTTTCATGGGTAGATCTATTTATCTGTCTACCCATTTGTCTACCAAATTGCTTCAAAATCTTTTTGGAAACACACGCTGGTTCCCTGAGCAGGAGAGCTCTGACGTACGAGTGAGAAGAATACAGTCTGTTGCAGACTCATGCCTGTGAGCTAGGGAGGTACAAGGTTCTGTTGATTATTATCATTCAGGCATTTCCTTGGACACAAAGGTCACTTCAAGTAAGGATGTTCTGGAATTTGAGTGATGGGATACAAGACTGAAAAAAAGAAGCAGGAGGAGAGGTAGGGTGGCCTGCTCTCTAGGAGACGGGGGTAAAGGTATGGTCTCACCGGGGAAAAGCTGCAGCACCAGATACGTGGCCAAGATAGCCAAGTTAGAAGCAAAAGCACAAATCAGCCAGCCAGCACAGTCACGTCCGAATACTATGTGCATAATTTATGTCTATTCACACCCCAAGATGCCTAACAATTGAGTTCTAAATGACACTGAGAAGGCACCTCCAGATCCTTTGTGGAAATGAACAAAATGAGTTTTTGAAAACCCGCCAGGACCGCAAACTCCTGAAAACAAACAATATGTGGAAATTTTTTTAAAAAGAAAAAAAAAAGGCAATTTGGCATCGATTCATAGAGAATGGGATTAGATTTAATTAAAGTGGGGGAAGGACCCCCAACTCCATCTGGTTCTCTCCACGTCAGCACTAGGGAGGGACGTTAGAGCAAGAGCTAGGGATTATTTCTTGGCTTTCATGGATTTCCTCCTCAGGGTTCAAATATAAAATCCAAACCAACCTTTGTCTCAGAAATTGCAAGCTGGACACTTGTTGGCTTCCTGACTGTTTATGTTCTCTTGAGTCACCTCCATAGTGGAGTGACCAGCTCTCAGTAGCTTCTTGGAAATACATTATTGTTCTTTTTCTTCTTCTTCTTCTTCTTCTTCTTCTTCTTCTTCTTCTTCTTCTTCTTCTTCTTCTTCTTTTTTTTTTACAGTGACAATGAATCCTGAAACTGAATGGTGCTAATGTTTTCGAAGAGGAGCAGCCCCAGAGGGAGCCTGCCGAGCCTGCCAACGGAGGATGAAGAGGATGCAAATTTAATTAATTTCAAATCAACACAGACACAAGAATCTTTTGCTGTTCCTTCCAACGCCCACTCTCCCCAACGATGCCATCACCTGTACCTGGAAGAATGCACGATTGAGAAGCACTAGCAAGAGGCTTGGCTGCCGTCCATGGTGGCCTCTGAGAGTGGAGAAGCCACGTGATGTGTTCCCCTCTCCTCAGTGCCCGTTCCCTCCTCTCCGCCAACCTCTAGCTGCCTGTACTCACTCCGTCCACACTCTAGGTCCTTGCTCCCTTTCTGTTTCATTCCTTGGAATTTAAATCAGGAAGCTGGTTTATGTATGGCCTCCTTCTGGGTCACCTTGTTACCTAATTAGCTTTGGATAATTTCCTCTGATTAGTCAAGTCCTCTGATAGGTCATCTGCATTCAGCAGGAACTTTCCTCAAGGCAAGTTACATCATGGAAAAGACAGCAAACAAAGCGTGTGTTTCACTGTATACATCATCCCGGGGGGGTTGGGAAGCATGTGTACCTGCCAAGAAGACAGAGTGAGAGAGTCCACCATCCTGAGGAGATGTTCTTTGGTGACTTGTGGACTGTGAGTTGGCCGGACAGACCCCTTGGGCACTTTTCGGAGGAAAAGGAATCTTCATTGAAAGAGCGAAATGATTTCCGTCTCGGCTAAAATCACCAGCTTGCTCACATTTGTCCAAAGCTCACTGTTGCTCTCACCACACCTCCTTTGTGTGTGGTGTGTGAATAGGACCTGTGCGCAGGGGGTCATCATCAACCCTCAAATATTTCTGAGATATTAATGGTCATTTGCAACAGACAGAATAGGAATAAGCAGATACCTGTGCCCGTGGCAGACGTCACTCACTGTACCTTACTGTCAGGCTGGCACAAGCCTTGTGTCCTCGTCGACACAGCTCTCCAGAAGACCACTATCAGTCCAGCAGAGGTGACATTCTACACGGTATTTGTTGACATTCTTGTACAGGAAGTAATGGTGCCAAATGCAGAAAGGCCTGCTTATCATTCCCATTCACGGAAAATCAATCTTCACTGAATCCTTAATTGTCTAATTCTGACCTTTAAAGCAATCTAGCAAATTGGGAGTCCTTCAGGTCTTCCGCAACACCTGATATTGTATTCCAGGAAAGAAAGAAAGAGTGAAAACTTTCTTCTACTCTCCACACATAAACTGAGGGGAGATGAGGGTCCCCAAACATTTGCTGCTGAATTTGGGGTCTGGTGTTTGAAAGGCTGCCTTAGTGCATAATGAAACTGTCTCTCTCCCTCTTCTCAGAATCCCTTTAACTGGTACTCACCTTCTGAACTATTCCCATAATTTTAAAGGCAGAGCTCCAAGCCAGGGAGATCTTTCCACACAATGAAAGAGAACTATCTGATTGTGTTTAACCACTGCTGTTACGCTATCCTGGGACTTTGTGGAGCCCTGGCAAAAGACACTCTTCGTGGTATATAATTTCAACAGATTTATCTGTCATGTCCTTGTTAGCACATCCTAATAAGGCATTTTTGTTTTCACTTCTGTTCTGCATATTCATATTCAGCTTGTGGTCCACAGTGACTCTCAGATATTTATGCCAAAATTGCCATTTTCTGAATTGTTGTTTCTCCTTATTTTGTTACTTTGTTTCTTCTCAACATTTTGACTTACAGAAGAGTCTTAGATTGCTTTTTTCTCTCTCTAGGTATCTAAGATTTTTGCTGAATACTTATGCCTGTAAACTTTATCCAAGTCTATCAAACAATGGACTTAGAAGTTCAGAGAATGGCAAGGGGTCTTGACATCTCATTTTGATTAAGCAATAGTTTATGATATGATAAAAATATTCTCATTCAGTATTTAAAATAATTTTAAGTTTCAGAAGAAGCAAGCCTCCGCAACATGTCATTGAATTTATGTCTGTAAAATGTCCTAACCTCTATAATTGCACAGTCTACAAGGCATTTTTTTAGAAGGTAGTTTATTCTAGCAAGGTATATGAACCAAAACAGTGAGGGGTCAATCCTAGCATCCTGCATCTTTTAATTACTGTTCAATCAATAGATATCATATATTTATGATCATTTCAATAATTGGTTTTAAACCCAAACTCAATATTTATGTTTCAGATTATTGTTAGCAAAAATCACATAATTTGCCCTAATTGGGTAGCCAATCAGAACAAAATATGACTTTAGAATATTTTAAAGATATGTAAGTTTCACTGCATTTTTTGTACATTTTAAGCAAACTAGGTTGACAATATTGCCTAGTTAAACTCCTCAGGAAACTTGTTTTAATAAACATACATGATTATGGATCTGTTACTCTTTTTTTTTAAGCGTATTTATTTATTTATTTATTTTGAGAGAGAGAGATTGAGAACCAAGCATGTGCGTGCATGCAAGTGGGGGAGGAGCAGAGAGAGGGAGGGAGAGGATCCCCAGGCCAACTCTGTGTGGGAAACCTGACTTGGGGCTCCATCTCAGGAACCATGAGATCATGACCTGAGCCGAATCAAGTCAGGTGCTTAACAGACAGGTACTAAACTGACTGAGCCACCCAGGTGCCTCTATCAATCTGTTGTCCCCCCCCCCCTTTTTAAGTTTATTTGTTTCATTTTGAGAGAGAAAGAGACTGAGTGAGTGAGGAGAGAGACAATCTCAAGCAGTCTCTGCACAGTCAGCACAGAGCCTGACGAGGGGATCAAATCCATGAAACCAGGAGATCATGACTTGAGCCAAGGAGTCAGACACTCAACCAACTTAGCCACCCAGGTGCCTCTGAGTCTGTTACTCTTAACTCAGTGATGTGACTCCTTTTTCTGGGAAGCTCATTGTCATCGAAAAACAGGCATACAGAATGGATCAAACTTCATATAGAGGACGCGACAAATGCCTCTAGCAACGTAAAATGTTTTAAAAAATGCTTTTGTCTATTTTTAAATTTTGACTGTTTAAACTATCAATTTGCACTGTCTCTGGAAGAAGGCCCCTATTATGAGTAAATATAAAAATAGACTTTAGTTTTAGTGTCTGTCAGAATTAATACAAATTCTGAAGGTAGTGGAGTGCTAAAACACAGTTTCATACTGGGAAGTCACTGCTGGTATCCTTACTGTGAGGAAAGCTTTGAATTTTATGCTGAATTAAATTTTCACATGCTACTTTTTCACAGTCAGAAGATACTCAGAATGAATCTTGGGGTCCTGTTTAGTATATACAGCAGACAGGCCAGAGTAGCTTTACTTACAGGTTATATTTCTTCAATCTTAAAATAACCAGAAGCATCACTGTATACTAGTGTGGAATGGAATTAGTCAAATTTGTTATTAATAATTGCATCATCCAAACAATGAATTGTCTAAATTACTTTGCTTGTTTGAGCAGCTCTTTGACATTGCCTTGGTACTGTCCTGTCTGGCACCGAAATTTTATTTTCCTTAGTCCTTTTGGGAGTAGCTATTTGTAGATACATGGTGGGGTTTCTTGGTTTATTTTGTTTTTTGCCCTGTTACCCTTTCTAAATAGCAATGTCCTATTTGTGAGATAGCAATTCATACAATTATATAAAATAAGACCTTTTAAAATCATTTCTAGAGGCACCTGGGTGGCTCAGTCGGTTAAACGTCTGATTTCAGCTCAGGTCATAGTCTCGCGGTTTGTGGGTTCGAGCCCCACATTGGGCTCTGTGCTGACAGCTCTGAGCCAGGAGCCGGTTTCAGATTCTGTGTCTCCCTCTCTCTCTGCTCCTCCCCTGTCCACGTTCTGTCTCTCTCGCTCAAAATTAAACAAACATTAAAAATAAAACAAAATCAATTCTATAGATACTCTAAGCTCTTTGAAATGATATCTTAAGAAGTTAAATTTCCAAGCCAAAGTACATTCAATAACATGAAGGCTTTCATTCCAGTGCCATACAAGTTTAGATATACAACACTGAACCACTGAAAACAACCAAAGGTGAATGGATGCTTTTTCCAGTTGGACTTCAGGTGTAGAGGGCTTGGGCAGTCATGTTTCACATCCCATCACATTATCATCACTGACCTTTGGTACTTTACACATAGTAATTGGGCCTTTTACAAAAAGCATGTTCTTCACATTTTCACTTCTTTGGTCTTCATGGAAAGAATGAAATGAACGATACTTAGAAACTGCAAATTATAAGCAACACTTTTTCCAGTATAAAGAAAGATCAGTGGAGAGTAATCACTGTATTACTCTGACTTCAGTGAAACCTCTGACATTATAAATAACATCAAGAACATGGGGAAACTCTGCATGTTTAATAAATGTTAGCCTTCAGAAAGATCAGAGGTTATAGTTTTCCAGCGAGTGAAAAAATAATCTGGTAGATCATTAATTTTGCATGTATGCATCTTGTTTTTAAAGTTAAGTGAAAATAATGTAAAAATACTATATTAGACTCTCATTTTTCAAGTAATATAAAGTAATTTCTCAGAAGGTCAGGAAGATAATCAGATGTTATATTTATCACTTGGCTTCAATGTAAAAATTCTGTCCTATAAGCCTCATGTAAGAAATGGTCCCATCACTATTGATTAGAACTGGTTTGTGAAACTACTAAGCTTTTAAGACTGATTACAGGTGTTGGGTTCTTTATCCTGCCCTGTATGCTGAGAATAATATATGTAATAATATTTTCCTTATTTATAGCTTATGGCTTCAGAAATGTCAGATATCCATTATATATGTATAAATTACACCCAGGTGTATGATTTTTTATAAAAAATAAATAAGTACATACACATTGGTGTACTAACGTGCTCATTCCGCAGTGTTAGATGGAAAAGCATTTCTGAATTTAACTAATAATAAAGCACTATAAGATAGCAGTAAAGAGTACCTTTGACATTAGTTTCTATGTATTTAATGTATATCAACACTGAAGATAAATTCTTATTTGAAAGTAAGGTATTTGCTTACTAAAATGTTGTTGACTAAGAGTAAAGGAGGGAATTATACATCTTTTTAAAGGAAATTTTAATTTGACTTGTGACTATGAAAATGAAGGATTGTTACCTTTTATAATTATCTCTTTTGATCCCTAAACTTCTTTTTTTTAATTTTTAATTTTTATTTTTTGAAAGAAAGGAAGAGAGAGAGAGACAGAAAGACAGAGTGTTAGCGGGCAAAGGGCAGAGAAAGAGGGAGACACAGAATCTGAAGCAGGCTCCAGGCTCTGAGCTGTTAGCATAGAACCCGAAGTGGAGCTCCAACTCACGAACTGTGAGGTCATGACCTGAGCTGAAGTCAGAGGCTTAACCGACTGAGCCACCCAGGTGCCCCAATCCATATACTTCTTTAAATAAATGAAGCAATACCAACTTTAAAAGTTTTTTTTTTTTTGAATTGAACCTGCTTTATACAACATTGTCTACCCTAAAAATTCATTGGATTTTCTGCATGCCTAAAAGATGTTATAACACATTCTGTTTTTTTTTCTTTACAAAATATTTTTAAATTGAGAAAGGAAATTTTAATCATCTGTAGAATATCATTTTAAAAGTATTTTTAGTAAAAACAGAAAAATATCTTAGGGGCGCCTGAGTGTCTCAGTCAGTTAAGCATCCAGCTCTTGGTTTCAATTTAGGTCATGATATCACTGTTCACAAGTTTGAACCGCAGGTTGGGCTCTGCACTGACAGTGCAGGGCCTGCTTGGGATTCTCTCCCCACCCTGCCTCTCTCCCTCCGGCCCTCCTCCTTGCTCATGCTTTCTCTCTCTCTCTCTAAAATGAAATTTTAAGAAAAATCTTAGAGGTAAAGCTTTCTCTTTTTCCTGATTTCTCACTTTTCTTCATGTCTTTAATTCTAATTTCATTTTCTACACCTTGACATTATAATAGTTAGAGCAAGGCTGACAGACACGTTCACAACACAGAGATAATATGAAGACATCATGAATAAGGATGCATCCCTGCACATCACAAAAACTAGTCAGTACCTTGACAAACAACGAGCAGAAAGGATTCTCCCCAAGGCCCCAACTAAAGTAAAACCTGGTCAATCACAGCATCGATACACCCCTAGAGTCTGCTGCAGAGTGTACATCCTTCCTGTATTAACCAAAGTGACTATGCGACTGAAGTGTTGGGGCGGATCAGCCCTGAGATGGCTTGGACCCAAAGAGCAGACAGCCCTACAGCATTAGAACAGGGATATGAAGAGAGCACAATGGTACTAACTAGCACTTACTGTGTGTAGCAGTTGGGAATTAAGTTCAGCTTCGAATACTAGACACACAAAATGAAAATTTTTTAAGCAGGATCTTTTTTGGTCACATGTGAGATAGTACAGAGGTAAGCTGGTATGGTAACTCCTTGGGCATCTGGGCCCTGGATTCCTTCGAACTCTCTCCCCCTCCATTAGGGCAGAGCTTCCATCCTCAGGGGCACCATACTATACACATGCCCCAGCTAGGTGTCCACAAGAAGGAGAGAAAGGGAAAGAGCACAGGGGCAAGTCCCTTTAAAGAGCTTTCCTGCCAGCCTGTTGAAACAACTTGGCCTACATCTCGTTAGCCAACCTGTCTGCAAGGCAGTGGGGAACTGTAAGGTTGGCACAGGTAAGGTCTCCAGGGTTGGTACACTATCACACCCAACAATGAGAGTCTGCTTCTCAAAGCAGTGAAAGAATTTTGGGTATCGGATGAGGTAGCAATCCTGGCCATAAGGTGCTAAGTGCTATATCATCTCATTTTAATCATCAAAATAAATTTTTAAAAAATGTTTACTTACACACACACACACACACACACACACACACGCATGCGAGTGCGGAGAGGCAGAGAGAGAGGAAGAGAGAATCCCAGGCAGGCTCCACATTGTCAGTGCAGAGTCCGATGTGGGCTCTATCTCAGGAACTGTGAGGTCATGACCTGAGCCGAAATCAAGAATCAGATGCTTAACCAACTGAACCACCCAGGCGCCTCTCACAATACCCTTTAACGATAAGATTAGAGAACTTGTGAATTTGTCCCATGTCTTCCCAATTCCAAAGCACACTAAACTGCTACACTAAACTGCCTTCCCAGTATAAGCAATAGGAGAATGTTTAAGAAGGTGTCAATCATTGTCAAGGAGACCTGAAGGTGGGCACAGTCAGGCAAGAAGTAACAGAGGCTTCAGAAGGGCAGAGAAGGAAGGACCTCGGACCAGTAGAAATGGTATATCATGATTAGAAAAAAACAAAACAAAACAAAACTAGGGTTTGGAAGAGGGGTGATAAGGTAAAAACAAGCAAACAAACAATGAAACCTAGTTTCCGGCCTAGGTTCCAGTAAGGATTTGGTCACTGAGATAA